TACCTCCTGTTTGTGTTACATCCTGTTTGTGTTACTTCCTGTTTGTGTTACCTCCTGTGTGTGTTACATCCTGTTTGTGTTACCTCCTGTTTGTGTTACATCCTGTTTGTGTTACTTCCTGTTTGTGTTACCTCCTGTTTGTGTTACATCCTGTTTGTGTTACCTCCTGTTTGTGTTACATCCTGTTTGTGTTACTTCCTGTTTGTGTTACCTCCTGTTTGTGTTACATCCTGTTTGTGTTACCTCCTGTTTGTGTTACATCCTGTTTGTGTTACTTCCTGTTTGTGTTACCTCCTGTTTGTGTTACATCCTGTTTGTGTTACCTCCTGTTTGTGTTACATCCTGTTTGTGTTACTTCCTGTTTGTGTTACCTCCTGTTTGTGTTACATCCTGTTTGTGTTACCTCCTGTTTGTGTTACATCCTGTTTGTGTTACTTCCTGTTTGTGTGTTACCTCCTGTTTGTGTGTTACTTCCTGTTTGTGTGTTACCTCCTGTTTGTGTGTTACCACCTGTTTGTCTTACTTCCTGTTTGCCTGTTACTTCCTGTTTGTGTTACCTCCTGTGTGTGTTACATCCTGTTTGTGTTACCTCCTGTTTGTGTTACATCCTGTTTGTGTTACTTCCTGTGTGTCTGCAGCATCATGACCTTTAAGCAGGAGTGTGTTTGGCTGCTACAGCCACGCTGACAGTGCAGCGCAGAGAAAACACAAATATGAAGGAGAATAAAATAGATCTCTTTAATGGACTTTAACAGTCGRTCTCTGGTGGTCTCATTAGGATGACCACTCTGACTTATTTTACAGCCTCTGGTAATTAGTCTGAGCAGGAGTTATGGCTGTAATCAGACAAGTTTTCCTTTGACTTTCCCTCCATTAACTCCTCTGTTCTACTTGCTGCAGGAAGACGGTGAAACGTGTGAAAGACAGCAGCAGTAAAACCAATAAAACTGTAGGGTTCCTTCTGGGGAACTTTATTACGTCCAGCGATATGATAACTCTTTTTCCTTCAAAGCAGCCGTTAAAAGCAGGATGAGTGCCTGACGGAGCCGTGAAGCTGGGCCCGGTTTGATGGTGCTGGTTCTGTTCGCTCCGCGGGGCTTTAATGATCAGCTGCGGCACAAAGGAGGGAAACAAAGAGTTTCACTCAGAGAGAGAGAAGAGTTCAGATTTATTACCTGCTGCTGAAGAACCTGCAGGAACCAGAACCTTCACTGGTTCTGACTGGATCAGATCACTTTGTTAACCTGAGAGAAGTTCGAGGTTCTGATGATGATGATGAGGAGGAGGAGGAGGAGGGGTTCAGGTGAGGAAGAGTTTCAGATGCTTTTTCTATGAAGATCTTGAAGAGTACCGGGTCAGGATTAAAGGTGGGTCCAGAACCCATCAAGTCTTCTTCCTCAGCTGATCCAGAACCTGATACCCCACAGAACCCTGACCCAGATCCTGACAGCCCTGGGTTTGCCCAGACCCAGTTCCTGTTTCAGTCTCTGGGTTCAGTTTTTTCCTGGACCAGTTCTTCAGAGGGATTCTTCTTTGCAGTCCCTTGGTTCTTGCACCCATCAGAACCGGGTCTTTGGACTTTTTGGGACCCTGATTCTTTATCTCCTTGGTTCATTTCTTCCAACAGAAGACTCCTCTGTGGACAGGAAGCTTTGGTTCTGACCCGCTGGTCCACATTCAACTTGAACTGAAACAAACCAGTTAAATGTTGAAGTAAAAACTTGTCACCAGGAGACATCAGACCTGTCTGAACTGGTTTCATCTGTTGTTGTTGTGTTTTTATGACCTCGCCTCTTTACTGCCCATCTAATGTCTTATTTATTACATTCATTCTTTATTCAGCAGCTCCTGTGTGGCCTCATTACGACTGGAGCTCTGCTCTGGAATTCCAGGATAATTATGAGCTTCATTGTTTTAATAAGAGCGTCGGTCAGTGTGGAGCTCTGCTCCGGCTTCACGGCTCCCACAGGGGGGGCGGGGGGGGCAGCGGACAGACGGAGCCGACACGCTGCAGGTAAATATTTATCTGTGTGAAGGAGCGTGCTGCTGCCTCATCAGCCGTCTTAGAAGATGCTTGTAAAGAAGAGTCGGCTCTCAAACCTGCGAGATGCAACTCCGAATCATCTCAGCTCGTCGTGAAGGAGCTGCTGGAAGTTCACAGGAGAACGACTCATCACTTCATCAGACATCAGAGAAATGAGTCCGTTCGGCTCGAAGTCTGGAAATAAAACTTTCTGAGCCACAGTTTGACTGAAAGTTTACTGGAAATAAAAGTTTATTTTTAAAAACAGGTCTCTGTTAAATAAATCCTCCAGATTCTGTCATCTGATCATTCTGTCATCCTGGTTTACCTCCAGGTGTCCTCCATGATGGGCGGGGCACACCTGGGCASGTGTGAGGACAGAGCTGAAGGTGTTCATATAGGGACAATCATCAGAGGGACAGATTGTTGATATAAGAAAAAATTGAGTCAAATCAAGTATTTCAAGAATCTTACCAAGTAAAATGTTCTTACTCCACTGGCAGAAATGTTTGACTTAATTAGAGTCAAATTTTCAGACTAATGGTGCGTTCACACCAAACATGATTTCAGCGTCAGGAGCAGCAGGTTTACATACAAAGTCTATGGTGGACGCGCTTCAAGCAGCGTCGGGAAGTGCTGCGGCGCCTCAAGTGTGATTAGAGCAGCGCGATTTGAACGATTTGAACGATCTGAGCGTTCGACGCGCTGAGACGCAAATCGCTGAAGTTAGAAAATCTGGACTTTTGCAGCTCGACGCGCCGCGTCAACCAATCAGAGAGACTCCACTGTGTGACGTAGTGACATATTTCCAGCGTCAACCAATCAGAGAGACTCCACTGTGTGACGTAGTGACATATTTCCCGACGGGACAGTTTACTGAATGATGTCCACTAACCTGAAACAGATGGAGAGGAGCTCTTTAGCTGAAATGAGTGCTGCAGTCGGTGTCCTGACAGAGATATCCTCAACAATGTGTGGCAGCGACTCATCAGACTGGAAAAATAGTCCTGAAAGCGAGCTGTGAGCCTCTACTCTGAATTATCTGATGAATTAATTATGAATTAATTATCTGATGAACGTGACATGCTCTGGCTCTCTGTAAATAAAGCAAAGCCACTTCCTBGTCCGACATTAAACAGAGCCCGACAGAGGAGGGAGGGGTGGGGCGGCTGTTGCCGTGCAGCACTTCAACAGCTGACCTGCGTCTGACCTCAAAGTGCACGAGCGACCAAATTGAAGCGTTGGATGTGATTTTGAAGCTGAAATCGCGTTCGGTGTGAACGCAGCATAACAAGACAAATAATCTTACACATTCTGAAAACAAGATGATTATTCTTACACAATCAGTTCTTGTTTAGTAAATCAGTCTGAAAACAAGATCAGAAAGACTTTTTGGCTGATATAAGGTTTAAAAATTGTTTAGATGGACAGTTTTTGCAGTGCAGCCTTTAAAGAGGACCTATCCACGTCATCATTTACCCAGAATGCTTTGTGTGGAAATAAAATGGCTCCGTCTGTGTTAAAATATAATTTACAAAATGATAAAATCTAAACATCCTACAGTATTTTTACAGTCTTTATTTTACAGTTAAAATAAATGTTTATCAAATAAAGTCTAATGTTACAACTAATCATGGATCCTTTAAACTTTTAATTTAGTTTTTTTTTAAACTTTAAATCCTGCAGCTCTGATTCTCCTGATGACGGTTTGGATGCAGAAACCACAGAAGAAGAAGGAGCGCGGTGGAGAGTCTGCTGAAAGCTTTCAGTGTGAAGTTTTGTAACTTCGTCTGCTGTGAACATGAAGCTCGTCTCTTCCTGTTTCCTGTCAGGAGAGGTTGGACCTGAGCGATGGAGCTCTCCTCCCGACACGCTGCAGATGTTTGAGCGTCTCGTCTCGGCGAGCGGAGCTGCCCAGCTGTCTCTGCTGGTCCTCAGTCCTCGGCTCCAGGAGCTCCGGTGTTTTCTGATGAATCGACATATTTTCAGTCCTCAGGAGGGACSGCGTTGTAGGGAAGCACTCGATCTCTGCCTCCACTTCCTGTCGGCTCTAATAGCTTCCAGGTGAGAGGTGTTCCTCCGGCCTCGCCGGGGAAAAGCTTATTAAAACTGTTTTCCTGTCGATGCTGTCGTTTGATTCTGACTGGATGTGACAAAGTAAAGATMTCATGTTTGGAATAACGTTACAACAGAAACATGATTTAACCTCGCTGTGTGGCAGACGGAACGCTGTTAAAGACCAGGCCCTGAAACCTGAAGCCTGAAGCCTGGAGCCTGGACCGGGTCACATTTGGTTTTCATTATTTCATTTTTTTAAAGTTGAAATATTTAACAGGGATTAAGTCATACAGAGTCAGAGCCAAAGCAAACATCCTGCCTCCTCCTCAGGAATGAAGACAGATGGAAGAGGGAAGCAGGTGTAAAGTGTTCTCCTGCCTCCTCGCTCCTTCTGGAGGTGTCCAAGCCCCGAGGAGGAGGAGGAGGAGGAGGTTCATGAGAACCGTTCATTTACCTGTGGAACAGAAACTGCTGTTCAAAAGGTGAGTTTGTCCTGATTTTACCTCCAAACCCAGGTCCTGAGTCCTGGTCCAGCTTGTTCTGAGACCTGGTCCTGAGTCCTGGTCCAGTTTGTTCTGAGACCAGGTCCTGAGTCCTGGTCCAGCTTGTTCTGAGACCTGGTCCAGCTTGTTCTGAGACCTGGTCCAGTTTGTTCTGAGACCAGGTCCTGAGTCTAGCGATCAGGAAGTGACCTGCACCTGCAGCCAGGCCAGCATGACATCAGCAGCTCACAGGAAGTGACCTCATTCGTCAGGAGCGCAGATTCTCACAGAACACCGCTGACATCATGGGACTGATCACCCAAAGCAAACACACCTGCAGAGCCTCTTCCTCCTCCTCTTCCTCAGATGATGTAAGAGTGAGTCATCAAACCAGAACTCTGAGTGAACCTTCAGGTCCTGCTGCACCTCAGAACCAAACTGGGGCGAACTGGGCCGGTCCCTGAGTCTGATGTCTGTTTTTAAAGCACAGTTCACACAGAGCTGCTGCTGCTCAGCAAACCTTTTAAAAAGTGAAAATTTAAACTTGTTTTGGACTTTGTGCTCCAAAAATAGAAAAAATACAAAAATTATTCTCACAGTTGAGTTTTTGTCTTTTTAGTTTTAGTTTAACACAACAAAAAATTAGAGACAAAACCAGGACGGAAAAGGAAGTTTAAATTTTGACTTCCTGTTTTTGTTAAATTAGATTTATATGTGATYAATAATCATAAAAACATGGACAGCTGGGGATTAAAATATTAATAACGTCACAAAACTGAAATTTACAATTTCAGCTCAGCTTCTGTTAAATCAACAGGACCGTAGCTGGTTCTGTGGCGGCCATTTTGAACAGGGCAGGGTCCAAATGTTCATCTGGTGATCAGTTCCTGGAAATCTGTTTGCAGTTAATTCACTGGATTTAAAATATTTTGCTAACAGACAAAAACACAGCTGCCTGCGAGGGGACATGGGGGGATTTTTTTCTTTTGCGTTACCATGAAATACTTTTGCGTTACCTCGCAATATTGTTTTGCGTTCCCACGCAAAAGTTTGATTTGTATATGAACTGCCCCCATGTGAAATCCCCCCCTCGCGAGGGGACATGGGGGATATTGTTTTTCTTTAGCGTTCCCATGCAAAAGGTCTTGCGTTACCTCGCAATACCTTTTGCATTCCCGTGCAAAAGTCGTTAAACACTGTTGTGCTGTCGGTTTATTAACAAACTCACATGTTCACTATTAGTGAGTTAGCT